AAAGGGAGCCCAAGTGGCAAGCCCGCCCTCTTCCTGGGAATCTCGAACACCCAAAGAATGGAGAAGACTGGAAGCCACGGAAGGTGCTCCATTCTGGGTTGGTCAATGATCACGGAGCGCCTGTGGACCCCTCCTGGAAGAAACCCGCTCACGACTAGACTCAAGAACTCCCTTACGGCTTTAGAGTTTCTATAGGGAAAAGGAAAAAAAAAAAAAATTAATGAATTCAGGCACTTAGCTGCTTGGGAATGGATTTGATCTGGTCAACCAACTCGAGACACTAGGCACTGGAGACCGCTCATTTGCTGTAGCGTGTCGCCACCTTGTGGCCTATCCAGATATGGCCCTCATTCATCTCAAAATGGCCAGGTGCCAGATAGGGTCCCAAACCTTTTACTATTTGCTCCTTTCCCCTTACAATAAACCACGGAAGCGTCAATAGTTATTTGCCTTAACGATATGGAAACTCAGGCAACGCTGGGAAAGGCGGTCTCGCAAACCCCACCCAGCCCTGCATGGGCCTTGCACACGGGAGCCCACACAACTCTTACCAGGGACCTCGCGTGGAGGCACTTTGCTGGTCGGCCTCAATGTTTTTTCTGCTTGAAATATGTGCATCCTACAGCACCTGCCCAACCCCACTGTCCTGAGAGGGGAGGGGATCCTCGGAGGCTCACTGCCCTGCAGTGGCACAGGGAGACACCTGCTGACCACAGGACACTGCCGCCTACTGTCAAAGCCATCTCCCGGCCTCTTCTCTGAAAGCAGTCCTATCCCTGCTGGACTTGTCCACGGTGACTGTGAGATCGAGGTGCAGTGGGCAGACAGGTTTGCAGTTCCCTGGGACTGGTTACCAGCACACGGTGCTCAGTGAGGTGATTTCTCAAGATCACGCTAATTGGCAAGTGGTAGAACTTGGGATTTAATCCCCAAGGAGCCCAGGCTGGCTGGGGCCTGCACTGCTCACGCTGGGAATACCCTTACAGGCCTGTCTGAGCAGTGGGCCCCATTCATGCCCCCCCACCCCTGTGAACTCGATGTGCACCCCACTGCCGTAAGGCCCAGGGTCAGATCTTTGCGGCAGGAACCCCGGCTCCTCCCCTCTAACCATCAACTGGGTTTATCAGACTGTCTTTCAGTCCCAGGATCTTGTTTCCTGTTCCCTCTTCCCTGGAAAGCTTGGCCCATTTCATAGACTAACATTCCTCTGTTCGCGGCAACGATCTCATTACACCCGCAACGTTCTTCCTTTCCGCTCCACTTTACCCTGAGCGGGAGCACTTCGGAAACAAGTGTTTCAGTCTGATGAAAGCCTCATGCCTACCTTGCGTCGAGGGAGACCTTCCACAGCACCAGTGGATCTGAACGCAGCCCTGCTGGGAAGATGGGCCGGCTCCGCACTTCTAAGACGGCTAATCAACTCCACCTTGTAACTACCATTTTCATTATCAGGAAGCTCACTTTACCCAAATGACTTCTAAATCCCACGAGGGCACGCTGGCTTACTTCCACAAATACCTGGCTCTTCCATCTATTTCCATCTATTTATTTTCAAACTTAGGCTAAAAAGAGGATGGTTCTATTCGTCCACTGGGATCACGGCCAAAGATGAGGGACACCAAGTAGGTAGCAACCGGGACCCCCCAGCCTGTTCCCACCAAGACCTGTGACCAAGTAATATTTCCCTTCCTGCTCTCAAAGACAAAGGACATTTTAGGAATTTTTAAAACTTTAATACAGTTCCAATCAGTGTGCCGGGTTCATTTCAGCTCCTTTACTGCCAAACCTAGGAGAAAAGAGATACACAAGTGAGCCACCCAAAACATACATTGTATTTTGAGTTACTCTTGCTTGTCTGGATTTTGTACTTAAAACTAAAGAGGGTTAACAAAACTCAGAAATTAAGCATACCGAGGTGGTTCTGCTTAAAATAATAGTGTTTGACGACGATGGTAATAATAATAATAATAGTAATAATAATAATAAATAAAACACACTCCTCACAGCCTCCATGAAGAAGTCTCAAGAGGTGCTTACAAAGCTAGGCCCTATCGGTTAACTTCTCATGGTCAACAGGCAGACTTTGGGAGCACTGTGCTCCGGGCCGTGTCCCCCATGGCCCTCGGTCCTCCCACCAGCAGGAAGGGCCCTGTCCAACCTATGCTCACGGCCTATAGCAGTTAGTTTCCCGACCTGCACCACTGTACCATAGCCACCTTGCAGGGCTGTGGGGAGAACGGACCAGTGCCCCACACTCCGTTAGCAAAGCACGAACGGGAACAAAACAAACTGCCCTCTGGCCAAGGAAACGATTCCTGGTATGGGATGGACACTGGGGACCACGACCATTCACTCCTTGCGTGACCAACAGCAAAAGCAGATACTTAGGACAAGCCACACGTGCACTTTCCTAAATCTGGGGACAACTCAAGGAACAAGATGGAGACACGTGCACCTTCCACATTTCTGGTCTTACCCCCCCCACCCCCCAGCCGATTCCAAACTCACTCACCTGGGGGCAGGGACTGCTTCAGTTTCTCTGCCTTCTCTTTGTCTGTGATGACCAAAGTGTAAAGGTATCTGCTGCATCGGACTTTGAACTTCACATTATCCTTATTTTTCTTGATCTTGACGGCTACCAAACAGACCAGAATGAGCAATTAAAAACTGTGTCACAGAAAAGAGATGTCATGCAGCGCACCTGCTTTGTATTTATGCAGAAAGGGGCACTCTGGACTGCAACCACGGACAGGGCTGTGCTCTCCTCCCTGTACCGTGCCTCTGCTGAAAGAGAAAACAAGAGGTCCTCTAAGACTTCAGTATTTAAACAGTTGTCAGAAACCTGTATTTCCCGGGGCACCTGGGTGACTCAGCCGGTTAAGCGTCCCAGCTCTTGACTCTGGCTCTCAAGATCTCAGGTTCACGAGATTGAACCCTGTGGGCTCTGCACTAAGCGGGGAGGCTGCTTGGGATTCTGTCCCTCCCTCTTGTACCCAGGAGCGCTCTCTCTCTCTCTCTCAAAACAAAAGCCACTACATTTCCCTTCAGTTCCCTTCCAGAGAGGACATCCCCTGGGCCAATGGGAACTGCTTGCTTCAGGATCCCATCACCTACACAGTGAGTTACATGCTAAAGCTTTTCTTAAATTCATGAAACTCCTTTTCCGGCCTCTTTCCTACTGCCAAATTCTCTCCCAGGACCAGAGCACAGACAACAAGGAGTCCCAGGTGTAACTCAAACTCAGCGCTGCAAGGTCTAAGTTTTGTGGTCTGTGGATGGCGTGGTCTGCTCTGGAGGCCACTCACTTCCCCGTATGTTACGGCCATTTCACATGCCCATCAAAACTCCCCACCGTAACTTTAGAAACAGCCCAGACTCTCCCCAGAATTCGTTATTATCGTTTCAGCGGATTATCAGTATCGATCAGGAGTCCGCTGGCTGGGGAATGCACAGGGCTCTGGCGTCTCAGCCCCATACCTGACCTTACACAAGCACTCAGCCCCCGCAGAAGCAGCGCAAGATTAACTCGGACTCACAACCCACAACTCCGTCTCTGCCAGTAACTGCCGGAGAAGTAAGACATGGCACAGGAAGAAGCCCTTCAGCCCGCCCAAGGCAGTGGCCGCCTCAGCTTATGTTTTAGTAAATCCAGAAAACTGGGTATTCATTCAAACCAACCTATTTTGCTACCTTAACGTCCCCTTTAAAGCGAAGGCACCGCACTGCCCCTAGCAGCTGCTGTATGTCTACACATTAGGCTCAACGTGTGCGGGGAAGACCCGTGCATCTCTTAAAGAAGAGACGTTTACTCAACGTCATGAGAGTGTGCGGAAGTTCTGTTCTGGGCACCGTCCTGCACCCCGAAGGACCGAGAGCAGAAACAGGAGACTTTATGCCTCCTTTGTGTCCAAGGCAACAGCATTCAAAACAGCCAGACGACACACCGAATGCCCACTGACAGACGAAGAAACCAAACGGGGCACGTCCGTATGACGAGCATTCAGCCTTAAAAAGGCAATTCTGACAAACGCGACGACGTGGATGAGCCATGAAGACCCTACGCTACACGAGGCAAGCCAGTCACAAGAGGACAAACACCGCTGATTTCACCTACAGGAGGAATCTAGAACAGTCCACGAAGCAGGCAGAATGGTGGCTGCCGGCGACTGGAGAGAGAGGACGGGGAGTTACTGTTTCAAGAGCGTAGTTTCAGTCTTACAAGATCAAGAGTTCTGAAGATGCAGCGAGCACGTTCTCCGGGCCAGTGAACTACACACTTAAAAGCAGGTTTTATGGGAGCGCCTGGCTGGGTCTTTCGGTTGAGTGTCTGACTCTTGATTTGGGCTCAGGCCATGATCTCATGGTTCTTGACATCAAGCCCTGCATCAGGCTCTGCACAGACAGCTCAGAGCCTCCTTGGGATTGTCTCTCTCTGCCCCGCCCCCACTCGTGCGTAAGCTTGCTCTCCAAGTAACTAAATAACCTTAAAAAAAAATAAAAATAAGCTTTATGTTACACATATTTATAAATTCAGTTTTTAAAAAATGTACTGAACCGACACTGAACACCCTATTATGTCTGCAGGGCAGCAACCCCGACCTCACAGGCCACAGGAAAACCACGCTCCCAAATTAAAACGCAAACCAATCTGACGGATTTGGGGCCGCTTCTTCAAAATGCTGAGGTCTCTAAAGGACCCTTTGATGTGATCCTTGCACCAATCCCACGGGACAGATGCTATTGTCCCATCTTCAACTGAAGGAAAGGGGGGTGCTGTGTCTAATCTGCTGAGGACGGCCACTTACCGACAGAGCTGGGATGCGACTCAGGCAGGCAGTGTGACCACTCCTGGTCTGAACGAAACCGTCAAGACAACCTCTCTAAGCACGACAGCACACGACACACACGCGGTCACCTGTGGTCCCCAGAACCACCAGACAGACATCCCTACCAGATGGTACTTGTTCCCACAGATGGCCACCATCTCAAGAAGTACCAGAGGCGCAAAGGTAACAAGGACACAGATGGGACCCCCCTCCCCCAACACTGTGAACCCACGTGCGCTTCCATCCCTCCAAGGACAGAGCACCAGACAGGACAACCAGGTCCTGAACCACGTCAACAGGTCAGCAGGACGCCAGGCCACGTTCAGAGCATCTCGTGTTCTCTTAATGACACGTCTGAGTGGAAAAGGAAGCTTTAAGGAGTATTTGATGTAGCAGGAAGACGACTCTGGGCTAAAAAACAAACAACCCCCCCCCCCCA